TCTTCTTTCTCCTTCATACCAGAAAGGTCCATGGACTACAAATATACAGTTCGTCATGGCGCCTGATATCCTTTCAAGTCGCAAGTCCGCAGCATTTGAGACGCTCTTCCAATTGTCCCAGTTGTTAGTGTACGGAACTAGTATCTTGTGAACCAATGAAAGCAATTTCTGTTTGAAGAGCAAAGTTGTTTCTTCGGAGCTCAGCAGTCTGCATATTTAAATTAGTCAAATAAATGATCAGGTAATGCAAGAAAAGTCATGACAGTGGCGAAGCCAATCCCGAAAAACGTTTTCGTTGAATGAAAGCAAACGTACACCACATCCAGAGATTCATCTGTGAATTCATATTCTGCTGAAATACCGCTCAATCTTTTTTTAATTCTCCTGTCCAATTTGATACCGTCTTTGAGGTTATCCCCCACTAATATTTGCTTCTCCTTCTTTGCTTTGTCCGGATTAATCGTCACAGTTTGGTTGACTACATGAACATTTCTGGATGCAATACTGTCGTCAGAATCGGCAATTGCCAGCGAGGTTTGTCCCTGCTGCATAGAATCAACCAATGCATTAATTTCCATATTGTGGGTATTATCGCTGCTGTCGTTTGATACTGGCATTGAAGTATTAAGCGGTGAAAGATTTGGAATGTATGAATCGATTGGTGATGCGGTCATAACCAGAGATCACCAGTTTGAATTTTAAGCTCCTCTCAGATATATTAAAACTGATGCCTTTTTAATTTATGATATATCACTATTTCATCCGGTTACATCGCACTACTAGCTTATGACTTTCAAACATTTTTTCGTATCGGAATCCTAAATCAACTGGCCACATACTTTATTACTTAACAATGCACAACTGTATGATCTAATGATAGGCAGACAATCATCCTGAATGAATTTTGACTTTCGAAATTTGAAAATAACTGCAATCAGTAACTTTGATAGCAGTCCTTAACACTTCTCCATCTAGCTCGAAAACGTTAGGTGTTGCGCCCTCACCAATTTTGTTGAAGCCACTTTTGTGTGGCCAAACAGAATTAGGCAATAATACAACGTCCAAATAAGTTCTTTCTAGACCGCATGTCGGCATTATTATCTACCAAATTTGGAAACATTACAAAGCAGCCAAATTGCAGAACATACTTGCTTGCTGAATCCCAATGGAAGTTACGAATATATATAGGCGTCCCTGAACGCAGAATTGGTATAGACTCGAGCACGTAGAAACCGAACAAGACTAGAAGAACCCAACTTAATAGAACTCTGATAAACCTACCGAAAAGAAGAAATTATGAATACGAGATATTTCGCAGTTAAATTATTACAATGTTCAGCTTTGTGCGCACTAGTTCTCCTCAGTAATGATCAAGTCGATGCCGCCCCGTCCGGTTCTAATGGTTCTAATTGGGTTGCTGTGCAAGACGGTCATCTCAAGCTTAACAACTGCAACTTCTACTTTCATGGTGCCAATGTCTATTTTCTGCCTTACAAGAATCAGAGAGACGTCATAGAAGGATTGGACACAGCTCAACGGAATGGAATTAACGTGAGTTGTTTGATACACCTTGCGACAAGATATAATGAAGTCCAATCTGTCTAGAGCTAATTTCATGTTTTTTCCGTAATTAATCAGGTCGTAAGAACATGGGCGTTCATGGATACTGCTCACGAAAACGTACAATTTCAATGGTTTGATGCGTCCAAAGGTGACACAGTGATAAATGACGAAATCAATCAAAAATACAGCTTAAAAGGTTTATCACAACTGGATATGGTCATAGCAGAAGCGAAGAAGCGCGATATCAAATTGATTCTTCCACTTGTGAATAATTGGCATGAATTCGGTGGTATGGATATTTATAATGATTGGTAAGACTACAGTTTTTATTCCACTTTAATGAGGCGTCTCTGCAACTTCTATATTAAACTCATAATTTCTTAGGTTTGGTGGAACATACCACGATGATTTTTATACCGGGACAAAACAACGCGAAGCATTTAAAAAATACATCAGAGCCGTCGTCGGCAGAACCAATACGGTCACTGGGGTTCCGTATAAAGACGAGCCCACTATTATGGCATGGTATGGTATTCTATAGTGGAAAGTCATCGCGGGACCGCTGACTCATTCAAATACTATAGGGAGCTAGCCAATGAACCGAGATGCAAATCAGAAACTCGACCTTCTAATTTTAGATCCTTTCCACCATCACCCAATTGTACTGCCCAAACCATAACAACGTGGGCTCAAGGTTGGTCTTGATTTTGAATGAACGGTATCAATTTTAAACTGAACCTGATTAATTATATTTATTTATCACACAGAAATGAGCAGATTAATTAAAAGCATTGATTCAAATCACCTGGTAGGATTAGGTGATGAAGGATTCGGTGTTAACGTACCCCGCGGGACGAATAATACCGGTCGCACTAAATCTGACTGGTGGCCATTTAATAATACCGATGGCATTGATTTTGAAAAGAATCTACAGATAGCAGACATTGATTTTGGAACCTTCCAGTATGTGTTTCATTTGTTCTCGTATAATCAGCTCCAGGAAACAAATTCACCATTACTTTTTATTAAATTGATAATGATAGCATGTACCCCGAAGACTGGATTTCCAATTCATCTGAAAGGCGAGCATTCACCTCGGAGTATGTGAAATGGCATGCAGAAATGGCCAAGAAGTACAAGAAGCCGGTCATCATGGAGGAATACGGATCAAAGGATCTTAATAACAGAAAGAGTATGTTTGACGAGTGGCATCAAATTGTAAGAAATGATGATTTGGCGGGTACTATGTTTTGGTACGTTACCAACGAATATTTAATGTTTCTGCCCCTCGATGGATTATATCGCGCGATACTATATACTCATTTTGCGGTTGCTTCGTATCGTATTTATAGGACTTTGGCCGTCGATCAAGTTCCAGAATCTGACCAAAGGGCAATATACGGTAATGCGATACAATCACTATTTGGTGAACATATAAGGTCGATGAAGGACAAGACTAGAAATTGTCGATAGTCGATTTCTTGCCTAGATTTCAGGGTTCACGCAATAGCGCATGACAAAATTCACTGAAACGACAGAGATGATAAATTAATACAACATGAATAAGGAATGCTAACACGATATCAGGGATACGCTCATGTATCTTGACTCTATAGTAGGTCATGGGCTCTCAATATATCTTTGAAGGCTTGACGCACGGTTAATAAAAGAGACATAATGTTTTATTAATAGTTACATTTTAGAATCATATCTATTTTTAAGAAGAGACTGTTTGTAGTTACGACTATATGACTGCTGACCCGAAAATTCTGACTATTTCCAAAGCATATTTTCGTTCTTGCATACAACATAATCCAAAAACATCTCGTCATTCACTCCGCATGTTTGACAAATAAATAATATCCATTCTACCTAGTAACTGATGACATCCATTTTTACAGAACTTCTACAGAATCGGGCACCGAACCCACTAAATATTCCATTCTAATCGATTCGAACAACCCTGGGTCTCCAAGCAGTTGTTGGTCTCCGGACCACCCTAGGTTTCCGAACAACTTTAGGTTTCGGGACAACCTTAGACTTTGGGCCATCCTTCGGTTTATCAAAAGCCTTGGACACAGCGGCCGCACCACCTCCAACTGCTGCACCAGCCAGACCTCCGACACCGAAACCAACAACATTGGTAATAACTTTCTCGGCCAATCCACCTTTAACCAACCCAGTTTTGACGATCGCTTTGGTAGTCAGTTGTTCGGCACCTACTTCTACTATTTTTGTCGCTGCATAACTAATCAGGGGTTTCGCTATGAAGCCAGCCGGAGGCATCGGGGTTGGTAGGGAGAAAGAGTGATGAGTGAGGGATAGAATGAGTAATAAAAGCGATAGGAGTTCACTGAGATTCATCATTTCATGATTATGAGTTGGAACCGTCGGAGAAAAAGCTTTACGATCAATGAGATAAAATGTCTAGCAATATCAACAGTTGAACAATTAATTCTCGTTTCGTTATTACAAGGTTTTTCTTGCTCGTCGTAAACCGCAAAATGAAAAAAGTTTCCAGAGCAATATTTCACTCTCATACCAACGTCCTCGTCAAAACCCTACCAAAAATCGTCACGCACCTGACTCCTTAATCAGTCTTAAAACTCCCCCTAAATTCACCACACTGAAACAAATCACTCGTTATAACCTTGCCTATCTGAGCTAGCAACACCAAAACCAGCATTGTCCAGTTGATCTCCCTTCCTAACGTATTGTTTGAGTTTCCGAGTCTCTGACAACCGCGAGTTCACCCCTGAACGAAACGCATTCCGTTGCCCCGGATTTCACGGGTTTAAACGGACTTGATCGGGTTTGAAGAAATTACGGAAAGGGGTTACGAAATGATGTGATATCTCGGGATACAAGCATGCTGTTGTTAATTTTAACTTGTCACTTATTAAACATAAACTTTTGTGACAAAATGAAAAATTTATGTGTTGAACCGTTTCGCTATTTTTGCATTGCTATGACCTGTATTTTTCCGTGTTTTCTTTAGATATCTCTGAAGCAATATTTATGAAATTGTATGATAAACTGTTAATTTCAAAGTCCATAGTTCGCTTTATCTAATTGATTGACGTTTCCCAGTCTGCTAGCGAATCCAGGCGGCGGCGGCAATGAGAATTACAAGGATCTTTATCTGATTTTTTATCAACTTTGTACCTAGTAAATTTATTGATCTCAGGAGTTTGCTTGAAGATAGGAGATAGTAGCCCATCAATAAATGGAACTGGATCTAGCAAATTATTATCTACGTGAATTTGATACACACGATTCACAAATCACAAACACAAGAAGCAAAAAAAGTCATTTGTGTTCAAAATTATATTTCAATTTGCAATGTTGCTGTTGACAAATCGGCCAGGTAGATTAAACAAACTAGTTATATATACTTTACATATAATGTATACTTATTACTACGTTGATTATCACGTGCAAAGTTGGTTTAGTGGTATAATTGCCGCCTGCCACTGAGATACACCGACAATTGTTGGTATGTCTCTAGTTCGCGGCAGACCCGGTTCGATTCCCGGACTTTGCAAATCCATTTTTCTTTTGCTAATTCAAATGGGATTTGAAATACTTATAGAATTTTAGAAGCCCGGGGGTTGTGTTTGGATGTGAAGTCGTGCAGAGTCATTGTTGTTTGGAGAATTCTCTAGTCAATATTGAAGCATAAGGGAACAATATTTGGTAGTCAAGATTTTATTTTTATTTTTCAAACCCACAGATGATTTATTCCATTGACAATTATTGTATCTGGCGAGGATGTCGCAACGATGTGCAATTTAAATCATCGAGACGAGGCTATCCCGAAGACATATCCATTCTTTGGGTGGGATTCCGGATCCTGGATGTGTCGGTTAAAACTTAAGTTACAATTTCCCAACAACAATTCATTCCCTACGTCAAATCATTCATCTGTATTCTGAATACCATTCTTCAAAATCTCAACCATTAAACTCCAACTTTATATACATTTCAAATTTTCTGGTTCACCCTAACGTGCAAAGTTGGTTTAGTGGTATAATTGCCGCCTGCCATTTACACATACCGACATTCGTTGGTATACATCTAGTGCGCGGCAGACCCGGGTTCGATTCCCGGACTTTGCAATCCCTATTTTGCTTTTGCTGGTTCAGATGGGGTTTGAATCTAATAAATGTTTTGAAGTGGGGGTTGTGTTTGGATTGGGTATTCAATTTTAGTGTTGAGATAGTTTAAGGGTGGAGTCATTATTTTTAAAGAAATTTTGTAGTCAAATTTTCAGAACGAGAGAACCAGTATTTGAAAATCCAGATTATATTTGTTTTCGGTTACGACAAAATGTTTATATAAATCGACTGTTAAAATATCTGGCCAAGTGAAATCATCTATTGGTATATAACTTCTAATACTAACGCTACATTTCACCAAACTACAGCTACCTCATTTAATTTCAATTTTTATTTCATTTCCATTTCTAATTTAGATCTAAATTTTTTTCATAAGTATAATTCAATCGGTATAAAGTTTCAAGTTTTCTGATGTGAGTTTTTAAGATTGCTCGAGTCAGGTCTGGAGGATCATAGATCACAGATCACAAATTATAGGTCCCAGACTAACAAGACTGCAAAACAGGTTCTACTCGAAACGTGGTTTAAATGTGGAGAATGGAAGTGATCGAGGTGTTTACTGAATTCAGAATAGTCAGAATGAAGAACGGTTAGAATTGGTATTCAAAATGTGACCCAAAAAACAAAACCAAAAACAAAAGAAAGAAAAAGAAAAAGAGGAGGAATTATCGACGTACCAGTTTCCACCGCCTCCCCCGTTTCCAACGATTCTTTCTACCCTCGTAGACGGAACTTCACCGTTTAAAAAAACCGTAGATTTAAATGTTTCTTTATTCGGCAAAGTAAGTAAAACTTTGAGATGCCGTTTTAGTTGTGTCTGAATGGAAGGTTCACGAGACACAGGTGTATTTGGGTCAACTGGAATGGGTTCTTGTTCAACGTTAATTTCCATTTCAACGTCGATATTGGCATCGTCAGGATCAGGGTTGCCGTCTTGATTGTTGTTCACATTCACGCTTTGATCGTCGTTTAGGGTTGCCATTCGAGATTTAAACTCTGTTTGAATGTTTTCCCATTTCTTGATAACAGAATGAACGTTTCCAATGTCGAACCAAAATTTTTGCATATTCGCATGTACTTTTTGTAATCTGTCTAGTAAATTGTCGGTATAGTGTTGAACCAGTTGCGGATGTGTCCAGATTTCCAATGGTTTGAATTGCGACGGAGATTTAGGAGATGGTAATTTGGGTAAATGATTGAGTAAATAGGTGTGCGAGTTGTGGAGTAAATCTGGGTCTGGATCGCCAGTGGATAACGTCAATGTGAGTCGATCTAAACCAATGTAGAGACCTTCTAAGAGTTGCATCAAGATTTCGAGTTTGGCGAGGGAACATAGTTTTCCGAGGGTCATTGGGTTGCCGTTTTTGTCACTGTTGTTTTCGAAAAAGTTGCGACAGTAGTGGAGCATGGAAGGGTTGGAGCAAATGTTGCAGACTTCTCTAGGCGATTTTTGCTGGTCGATGATGATTCGGAAAACATCAGGAGAAAGATTCGACATTTTGGCTGTAACTTGTTGTTCTTTCTTTGAACTCGGCATGCTGGCGGCAGACCCTGAGCGAGCCGGATTCACGGATCCTTGGGTAGTGCCATCACTAGCAGGGTTGGACAGGGGAAAAGGAAGTCGGTCAGGTGTGGTTCTATCCACTTTAATATCCCATGCATGCTGTACATCAAACACCCAATTCATTCTAAAACTACTTTTCTTTCCCTTAACTTTAACTCCTCTTGAATCATGAAAAGGACTGAACGGGGAGCTCGATAAAACTAAAGAATACGATCCTTCCATCCATACGTCAGGTACGGTAAATTCGATTTCGTAGACAGTAGAAGGATTAAGACGACGGGGACTCAAGAGTGAGAATTTGTAGGTTCTTTTGGGTGGTTCGTTTTGTTTTCGATTAGCGGAGGACCGGGAAGGTGACGGGGATCGGGAAGTAGAGGGGGAAGACGGAGGACGAGGAATGATTTTGAAAACGGAGATTTTAAAGTACAATTTTTGATCAATGGACGAGACGGTAGTGAACTGAAGTTTTAATTTTTGTAGAGGTCGTACATTGATATCGGATATAGAAGGATTCGTGATCAAAATACTAGACGAATCAACGACATCTGATGTCAAGTCATGAGAGGAGGTTGATGAACCACCGGCACTTGAGGAAGACTCTCCAGACTCGGATCTATCGGACCTAGTGGAGGCGGTATCCTCGACTCGAGATGAAGCTAAAGCTGCCGATAGCAATGAACCTGATGCGGATTGAGAGTTGAACTCAGAAAGGGGAATTGATCTGACGACAATTGGTTCGAAAGGTGCTTGTAGAGTGGGTGTGATCCATGCAAGCATCAAGACGACGAGGAAGGCAGTGGTGAATTTGAAGGGCACTTTGTAGATCGATGATGTCGGAGTTGAAGTCGAGCAGACGAGAGAAATTGGGCGGGATAGTTGGGTGTACATGATGACGATGACGGATGATTGATGAGGGTATTTAAGCGATGGGGGAATCGGACTTCAGAGTGATTGACTTTTTACCAAAATCACGGTATCGTCCGTCAATGCTGAACGACAAGGTGCCAAGAAAATCTTTTCCCGGGGGATATTATCAGCTAAACTCAGATTTTGTAGCCAAAAATCCAATTTTTTCAATAAATCGTGGAAGTGAGAGGAAGAGAGAAAAGTGCAATCAAAAAACACCAGAACGCATTATGAAATAGAAAACAAAAGCATGAGGTCGACCAGAAGCACCTGATAATAGTGAGGTTGTGTTATACAACAAATCTACAGATGGCGGTTTGATGTGGGAGAGGACCGCCACGTTTTGAGGAGAGATTGTAAAAGGTATTGGTCCGTGAAACAAAATCGACAATTTTAACATAAGCCCAAACCCACACAATCAAAGTAGCCAGGGGGTATCAGACGAGATCACTGCAAACAGGGGGAAATGGAACGTGCGTGGTGTTGCATCAAAAGAACCGAGATGGAGACCTAGATGGGTCGTGATATTTCTTGGAGGCATGCAATAGCAAGAGATAATTATGGACAATTTTGGTAGAAAATCCCTCAGAAATCTAGACTATTAAATGGGACTACTTGAAGAGTGCGATGAGACGTGGAGATGATGCAGTCATGACTGTATTGGAGTGAAATACCAGCTAATACAATTCAATCTAGATCAGTCAGTATAAGCAAGATGTATTGTCGTCGATTGTTGTAGTGGGTGTAGTGTAGTGTAGTGGGTGTAGAGTAGTGGGTGTAGAGTGCAGTGGAATAGGGCGCATTAGTAGAGTAGCGCATCCAGAGTGCATCCAGAGTAACTCTTGCAGCCTGTGGCTTAGCCAACTGGCCAAGTGGGTTCACTGGTTCACTGGTTCACTGGTTCACTGGTTCACTGGTTCACCCATCGGCAACCTGGCAAGTGAACTGTTTGCGATCTGCCTTCTGCAAAGATTGTCCGCTCAGCCACACCTTCCCCCTCGTTCCCTCTCTCGTTCCCTCTCTCTTCATTCCATCCCACATCCACACACTCTATACACTACCACAACTCACACACAACAAATGGAGTACACCGGACAGCCCTCGGACCTCACCATCGTAGACCTCTTTCCCCAAGGTATGTTCATACGCTCCCTCTCTCCTCTCTCTCTCTCGCTGCCCCCGGCTACTTGTCCGCGGATGACTAATTCCCTCCGCCCTTACTCCCCACCATCCACTTCAACCATCGCTTCACACGGTACTCTGCCCAACTCTTTGCTCAACCCCACTCATCCCAAACCAAAACAGAACTCTTGCCCTGGAACAGCAACAAACAGTCCTCCGCCAATAATCCCTCAAATTATATCTCGCAAGCCGCCCTCCTAGGCCTCATCAACCCAGATTTGATCAACAACAACAGCAGCAGCAACAGCAGCAACAATAACTCTACCTCCGCCCCCTCCGATTCTACCAACAACACAACCTCAAATTCCAACAATCTGTCAATGCTCAGCAGAAATAGCAATAATAACCGCAAACATGCCTTGCCCTCAGAACTCGATACCTCAAACCTGAAAAACTCCAAAGTCGAATTATGTAATTATCTCTCTACCTCTTACTTTTTTTTTCCAAAAGATAAAAGAATCATTCCCTTGCTCATTCCTATTAAAATTCTGTAGCTAAAGGCTCTGCAAAATCCAGAAAAAGTTTCTCTGTAGACGACGACGATGGTATGTGTTGGTAATTCCCTCGGTTGTCATCATAGCATGTCACTCTTTTCTCACTCTATACGTTCACTATCAATTCCCATCAACAGACGTCACTTTGGTTAAAAAAGAAGATGAAACCGGCACACAGAAAAAGAAACCCGGCCGCAAACCGAGTACCACTGAACCCAACTCTAAGCGTAAAGCACAAAACAGGGCTGCCCAAAGAGTATGTTTTCTCTAAACTATTCATTCTCTTTCTCTCTCTAGAGTAAAAACTCTTTGTCCGTCGCACTCCTTCTCACAATCTTGCATTTTCAACTCAACTTTTGAATAGGCTTTCAGAGAGCGAAAGGAGCGATATATAACAGCATTGGAAACTCGAGTCAAGGAGCTCGAAGAAGGAACAGATTCAGAAAAGGACTTGTTGAAACAAGAGAACCAGACTTTAAAAGCCCTTATTCAAAAGTTGGAAACCGAAAATTATTATCTAAAAGGATTATCATTCACTTTTGAAGGCCCCAAACTCCAAAATCTCCCAACAATGACCACAACCAACGCCAACCCTGTTCGTTTATCGTCTCCTACTGATTCAGCTACTTCCCCCAATGCACCTTCTGATTCACACAGTATGAACTCTATCCTTCAACTCCCCTCGTCGCCAGAAAGTTCAGCGTCGTCTGGCAACAATCGTTCCAAACCTGATGTTCCACAGATCAATACAACAACCGTAGAGGATCAACAGGCCGATGTTTTTAATTTCCTTCCCGATGGCGGCCTCGACCTCCTTTCTCCAACCACATCCGGTGCTCTGCCCGAGTTACTTC